TGAAGATTCTGCTCACAACCTGAGTTTGATCCCAGGTAGCCGGCTCAAGGTTCACTCAGCCTTCCATTCTTCCAAGGTCTGTAAACTGAGGATGGACCCAGCTTGGAATTTTAATTGTAGCTTATTGTTTTAGAATAGTAACCTTCCCTGTTCTGAGTGTTATGGGTTTAGTGGCTTGAACTAAGAATCTGATTTTCTGAGGATGGAAACCAAAGTGTCTGAAAGCTTCTCCTGTTATATAAGAGAAGGCAAATGACCAACATCGGTTCCCGTCACTGGTCAGCAAGGTCAAGCTTCCTGACTGGCCAGGCCTCTGGGAAATACTTTGCTGACCACAAACCCAGCTTCTTCCTTTGTCTGATCCACAGAGACTGGACTTGCACATTTTCAGTGGTTTCAGCTGACCTCTCAAGTTCTGGGTTGGAGCATTGGTCCCCTCTCCCCAGCTTAGTTTTAAGCTTTACATGAAGAATGTGTGCCGTGCATATAACATGCCTTGTTAATCGTGGTATCTTTCTGGTCTGTCATTGCAGGTTCCCATTCTGCTGTCTACAAGGATCCCATGATTCTCGTAGGCCCAGAGAATCTGACTTTAACTGTGCACCAAACAGCTATCCTGGAATGCATTGCCACTGGAAACCCTCGTCCGATTGTTTCCTGGAGTCGACTGGGTAAGTGCCAAGGCCGGCCGTCCTGGCAGGACAGTTTTGCTGTTCTGTTCAAATTTGAATTGAATAGAAGGGTGTGTGCTTATTTTGGCCTCTTGTTTTTGTTGAGAGCCGATATAGCCTTTGAGAGTCTGAGCTGTAAACTGCAAAGCCTCCTCCCACCTTTAGATCTTCCTTAAGCCATGTATGCATAAGCAATCTTACTTGGCCTCTGATTCAGGCAGTACATATTTGACAACCTGTATTGGTAACGGAAAGTTGCAGTACAAAATGAAGGTCAGATGGCAAAAGACAGAGATAGAAAGAGGAATATGACAAGGATGCCTTGCTTTTCGATTTGTGAGAACATATTTAGTGAAGCACTTACTGATTTAAATGATGGTATCATTGTCGACAAAGAAACTATTAATACAATACAAAATGCATGGGATACAATATTACTAGTTGACAATTTAATCTGCAAAGTCTATTCAGTAAAGTTAATGAAAACCAAATAGTGGTCAGTAAAAAGCAAATATAAGTAGACAAATTTAGATGCCTTGGGATTTGGATGAACAGTGAGTTCTTCTTTCTTCATGGCCTCTGTGAATCACACTATGGGTAATCTGCGCATGCATGGAGCCTTGTTGGAGAGGTGCATTCGAAGAACTACAATTCCAGGTAGGCAACCTGTCATTTCTGCATTTCTGGCAAGCTTAGCACAACTGCAGTCCCATGAATTTCAGCTGCAAAGATTTCCAAAATCCCATTCTTACTGTCCTTTGCAGGCATTATGCAGATAATTTTCTGAGAAAGAAATTTTATTCACCTTTGACTTCTTTTCAGAACAACTGGAATTTTCTGTTTTAAAATTTCACACAGCCTTTAATGAAACCCAGTACCATCTTAAAAAAATTAAAATCCAGAATAAATGTATATTTTAATATATTGCACATGAATGTATCTCTTGCAATCGCAAGAGCGGGGCAATCGTTAAGCGGGGCACCACTGTATTTGTATTCATACCTTTTCTAAGCTTCCTTGGCTCCAGAGATGGAAAACATACACACCCTGTGCCATGTAGACTATTTCAGAATTATTTGGTATTCCACCTTCAGAGGGAAGGGCCCTAGCGTTGACACTGCAACTACTGATTTAAACGATTTGTCTGGTAACTTGTTGCAATGATTTGTATGAAATTATGAGGTAACTACAGTAGCTGTTTTGTTTTTTATTTATAATAAGGCAAAACGAGAAACATTTATTGTTTATTATTTAAGAAAGCGTATAGGGAAAGTACAAAAAAACCCCCACAAACCTAAACTTATACTAAGAATCCTGTGACGTTGGCTTCTGTGTCTGCTGCTTTGGGCATTTTCCTAAACGAGAAAAAGAAAAACAAGAAGCAAAAAGTGACCTTGGAATGAGAAAGAGAGTGAGTGAGAATATTTGTCTATGGAATAGGGACCTGGATGGGGTGTGTGTCTCTCTGTGTGCAGGGACTCAGGCCCATCTGACTGTCTGCTCTCTCTGCCCACTAACTGACCCATCCCATATTTTACACCCTTTGGAGCTCCGCGTTGGTGCTTGATGCCAACAGGCTGTGCTCAGAGAAATGTTTTTTTTTCCCCATTTCTCCCTGCAATCCAGATGGGCGACCCATTGGCGTCGAAGGGATCCAGGTCCTCGGGACTGGCAACCTGATGATTTCTGACCTGACGGTGCAGCATTCGGGGATATATGTTTGTGCCGCCAACAAGCCTGGCACAAGAGTGAGACGAACAGCACAAGGGAGGCTGGTGGTGCAAGGTAAGAGGGTCAGGATGCGGGGAATCACTGGGTGGCTAAGTCAGCCCACGGCTGCTTTCTGAAGCAAGGCCATTCCCTGTGCTTTGCAAAGTGACCTTATCCTTCTTGCTTCCTCTGTGTGCAGACAGGAGTGTGACACCTGCTAAAACATATCTCCTGCTTTGAACTTGCTGATGCTTATACTTTTGCCATTCAGAAAGGCCGTATTTGGGAGTGTTTTGGAAGCTTTTGAAGATTCTTCCTTTCTTTTAAAAATCAACTAACTGTGCCCTGGGTGTTGTCCTCTTCTGTCTGATTCAACAGCTTTTAGCTAGAAATGTTTGTGATAGCGATGGGTTAGGGGGGAGGCCTAAGGGCAGTCCTTCTGTCCGGTCCTTCCCGAGGCTTTCACATGACACGTTGTGGCAGTCAGAAAAGCCATGGGACAGAAATGGGACCTTTTAGTTGCAGAAAATTGCCCTCTCCTTCTGGCCTCCTCCTCCTTCCACAGAAGGAAGTTACACAAAAAATATTTCAAGCATAAGGTCTTCTATATCCATTGAATACAGTAGACCCTCGACTTACGGAATT